TTTTTTGCAGTACGCGGGCCCCTCACTGTTGTGGCCTCTCCCGTTGCAGAGCACAGGCTCCGGACACGCAGGCTCAGCAGCCATGGCTCATGGGACCAGCCGCTCCGCGGCATGTGGGATCTTCCCGGACTGGGGCACGAACCCGTGTCCCCTGCATCAGCAGGCGGACTCTCAACCACTGCACCACCAGGGAAGCCCCTATATATCTTATATAACATAAGTGTTAGTTTATTTCTTTTGGCCAAAATTTTCCTCTGTCAAAGCTGCCAATTTCTACACCTTCTTAAATTATCCAAATGCCACAAGCACATAACAGAGGACACAGGGGGAAATGTTTTATGATCCAAGGTGGACAGGGGAGTAGTAGAGAAGATTTCAACCTTAAGTCAAAGTAAAAAGCAAACTTTGTTTGGAAAAGCAAATACACAGGATAACCTACAACAGAAGCTAAAGAAGGGAAACTAATATGAGAATCTACTTTGTGCTAAGAATGTGTTGAGTGCTTTCACACATCTTTAATTTTCACAATGACCCTGTCAGGAAGGCATTATCATCTCCATTATACAGATGGGGAAACTAGAGTTCAGAGGGGTTAGGTTATTTACCTATGGATTATACAGTTATGTAGCAGAGACAGACATTCAAACCCAGGCCTGTTTCCTTCTTTCCCTGTTAGGGCCTAGGAATGTACAACTTCATTCAATGTATAGTCAGCCTATAGTCAGATATGGAGAATAATACAGTAAGGGTTATAAAACTAACCATTCTAAGTGTGAGCCTAAATTAATTACAAAAAACCTCCTATATTCACCCCCATTCCTTGGCAAAATGATTAGGCAGTTCACAAAGCCTGATGATGCCAGCCAGAGGTACCGTAAACAACCTCTGTGTCATGAGCCAGGAACAATATTGCTCTGCCTTCCAGGTGTCTCCTCACTTGGTTGGGTACCATTGCCACTGCTATGTCGGGTACTAATTGCTGGGCTAGCAATGCTCTTGCTGCTACTACAGCTACCGTGCTATTTCTTTTAATAGATGTGATGGTCACCACTGTCAACGGCACCAAAGCAGGACACAGGATTCTGGGTGGGTCAAGTGAGAAGCTGGCATGCATCTCATCTTGGAATAGGGATTGCTTGGTGAAACTTAATGCCTCATTCCTAAGAAGCAGCCATGTAGTATCACTGCCTCTCTACTGCTAGCTGAACTCAACATAAATAGCTGCAAAGGTCTGAATTCAACTCCTATTCCATCACCAACTCCTAAAATGCAACATTACCATGTCTCTCTCACTTAAAACCCACCATATGAGCTGCAGGATAAAGGGCAAATGCTTTAGTAAAGACTCATAAAGCCCTTCATAATTCAGCCTCTTCTTGATTACTCTCCTCCTCGTGTGCGCAAATCACACAGAACTACTTCAGATCCCCAAATGTGCCATGCTTTCTCAAGTATTTCTATCTTTATGTTTGCTTATGTTCTTTCTTTTGTCTGGAGTGATTATTATCCCTTTGATTGTTTGGAAGTTTCTTGTCTTTCAAGACTCAGCACAGATATCACTGTGTGTGAAAATTCTTCCAGATCACTTCTTGTCCCAAGTTAAATTATTAGTTTTCTCCCTTATATCCCCAATTCATCTGTACAAACCAAAAAGGTTTATCCCAAAGAATTTGATGTTTTTAAATGATACTGAAAATGGAAATAATTTTTTGTCATTTTCCGATTATTCACTGCTAGTATATAGAAATGCTGTTGATTTATGTATGTATATTATCCCTGTATCCTCTGACCTTGCTAAATTCACTTACTAGTTCAAGTAACTTTTTTTGTAGATTCCTTAGTGATTTTAAAGAAATCATGTCTTTAAATAGAGAAGTTTTACTTCTTCCTTTTCAATCTGCATGGCTTTTATTTCTTTTTCTTAACTATTGCAATGGCTAAGGCATCTAGTATAATTCTCAGCAGAAGTGCTGAAAGCAGACATCTGAGACTTTCATCATTAAGTATAACGTTAGCTGTGTTGTCTTCATAGATGCCCCATATCATGTTGAGAAAGTTCCCTTCTTCTCCTTGTTTTCTCAGAGTTTAAAAAAATTTATTTATTTATTTAGGCCACACTGGGTCTTAGTTGCAACACAAAGGATCTTTGTTGTGGCATGTTTAGTTGTGGCATGCGGGCTTCTTAGTTGCAGCATGCATGTGGGATCTAGTTCCCTGACCAGGGATCGAACCTGGGCCCCTTGCATTGGGAGCATGGAGTTTTACCCACTGGACAACCAGGGAAGTCCCGTTTTCTGAGAGTTTTAATTGGAATTCGTTGTTAAATTTAGTCAAATGGTTTTTCTGCACCTGTTGAGATATTTTATGATTTTCCTTTGTACTATTAATATCAAAAATTATATTAATTGATTTTCTAATGTTAAATTAATCCTACGGAAAACTCCACTGGTTATGATGTATTATTTTTTTCTATAGTTTGTTTTAATATATCAATATTTTGTTAAGAATTTTTGCATATTTATGAGGGATATTAGTTTGTAGTTTTCTATTCTTGTAATTTCTTTTACTGGTTTTGCTATCAGAATAAAATTGGCCTCATAAAATGATTGGGAGCTATTCCCACCCCCTCTATTTAGGATGTGTTGGATTGGTACCATATCTTTCTTCAATGTTTATAGAAATCACCAGTGAAGCTATCTGGGCCTGAAATTTGCTTTGTAGTTAAAATTTAGTAGACATAAGGCTATTTATATTTTCTACTTCTTGCGTTAGTTCTGTGACTTATAGATTTTGTTATTAAAATTATTAGCATAAAGTTGTTCACAACAGTCCTTTATTATCTTTTTAATTCTATACTCTGTATAGATTTATTCCCAATTTTCTTTTTTTATTCCCAGTATTGGTAATTTGTATCCTTTGCATTTTCCCCCCTGATCAGCCTAGCTAGAAGTTTATCAATTTGACTGATCTTTCCAAAGGACCAGCTTTTTCATCCATTCCCTTTATTTCTATTGTTATCATTATTAGTTCCTTCCTTCTATTTACTGTGGATTTAATTTGCCCTTCTTTTTCTAGCTTCTTAATGTGGAAGCTGATACCTTGATTTTCAAAATCTTTCTTTTCTAACATTAGCATTTAATGCTAAAAATTTCCCTGTAAGTACTGCTTTAGCTTCATCCTACAATTTTTTTTTTTTTTGCGGTACGCGGGTCTCTCACTGTTGTGGCCTCTCCCGTTGCAGAGCACAGGTTCTGGACGTGCAGGCTCAGCAGCCATGGCTCACAGGCCCAGTCGCTCTGCAGTATGTGGGATCTTCCTGGACCAGGGCATGAACCCGTGTCCCCTGCATCAGTAGGCGGACTCTCAACCACTGTGCCACCAGGGAAGCCCCATCCCACAATTTTTAATACACAGTCACTTTATTATCATGTAGTTCAAGCTTACCTTCACCATAGTCAGAAATGCAGGTCAGAAATGTAAGATTTCAATCTTTTGAAATACACTGAGACTTATTTTGTGTCCTAACACATGGCCTACTTGCTGAATGTTCCTTGTTCACTTGAAAAAAATGTGCATTCTGCAGTTGTTGGATATAAATGCCAATTAGGTCATGGTTGCTGACAGTAGCTTTTGGATCTTTGATTTTCTTCACCTTTGAGGGGATGCAGTTGTGCTATCAAGTACTGACAGAAGTGTATTAAAGTGTCCAGGGGAGAGACCTTCAAGATGGCGGAGGAGTAAGATGTGGAGCTCATCTTCCTCCCCATAAATACATCAGAAATACATCTACATGTGGAACAACTCATACAGAACACCTACTGAATGCTGGCAGAAGACCTCAGACCTCCCAAGAGGCAAGAAACTCCCCACATACCTGGGTAGGGCAAAAGAAAAAAGAAAAAACAGAGACAAAAGAATAGGGACGGGACCTGCACCTCTGGGAGTGAGCTGTGAAGGAGGAAAAGTTTCCACACACTAGGAAGCCCCCTCACTGGTAGAGATGGGGGGTGGGCGGGGGGGGGAAGCTTCTGAGCCACAGAGGGGAGCGCAGAAACAAGGGTGCAGAGGGCAAAGTGGAGAGATTTCCGCACGGAGGATCACTGCCGACCAGCACTCACCAGCCTGAGAGCCTTGTCTGCTCACCTGCCAGGACGGGTGGGGACTGGGAGCAGAGACTCTGGCATAGGAGGTCAGATCCCAGGGAGAGGACTGGGGATGGCTGCGTGAACACAGGCTGAAGGGGGCTAGTGTGCCACAGCTAGCAGGGAGGGAGTCTGGGAAAAAGTCTGGAACTGCCTAAGAGACAAGAGACCATTGTTTCAGGTTGCACGAGGAGAGGGGATTCAGAGCACCACCTAAACAAGTTCCAGAGATGGGCGTGAGCCGCGGCTATCAGGGTGGACACCAGAGATGGTTATGAAATGCTAAAGTGGCTACTGCAGCGACCAAGAAGCCTGTGTGCAAGCACAGGTCATTATCCACACCTCCCCTGCAGGGAGCCTGTGCAACCCGCCACTGCCAGGGTCCTGTGATCCAGGGACAACCTCCCCAGGAGAAAACACGGCAAGCCTCAGGCTGTTGCAACATCATGCCAGCCTCTGCCGCCGCAGGCTTGCCCCACATTCAGTACCCTTCCCTCCCCCGGGCCTGAGTGAGCCAGAGGCCCCTAATCAGCTGCTCCTTTATCCTGTCTGGGCGGGAACAGATGCCCTCAGGCGACCTATACGCAGAGGTGGGGCCAATTCCAAAGCTGAACCCCAGCAGCTGTTCGAACAAAGAAGAGAAAGGGAAATTTCTCCCAGC